TTTTTATTCAATACCTTAGAGTAGAGACACTGTCCAAGACATCTGACTGCCTAAGACAACAACTTTTCTTCTCGACTATGGGTGGCTGTCTCAGACAATGTTACAGTATTACAACCTTGTGTTGATCTGTAGTCCAACTTTGACCGTCATGTGATAATCATGTGATGATCACGTGACCCACAGGTAGCCAATACAACCCCAAGGGAGAGCTGAAGTCGTGGTGGACGTCCAAGGACAAGGAGAACTTCAAGTCTCGCTCCCAGTGCTTCGTGGACCAGTACGGCTGCTACAAGTGGGATGGAAATAGCGTGAGTGGTCCCATCCTAGTATTAGTACTATTTTACGGCACTTGCAACACAGTCAGGTCACATAAAAGCCGAAGATTAGAGAAGTTACAAAGGTGTAAAAAACACAAAAAAGAATGAGAGATCCGGACGATAGATGTTTGATAGGAAAGACATATATGCTTGTTTGTTTTTGTAGAGTTTTTACTGCGCTGGCAACTGCGTAATGTTATATGAGCGCCAAGGGGTGGATGTCAACAAAAAAGTCCTTACAGGGAATCAGGCTTACTCTGTTCTCCTCTCCAGCTTCAACAGCACAAAGTCTGCTTCAACTATCAAGGCACCCCGGAAATAGCGGGTCATAAGAGTGCAACAAACATACGAAAGAAGTAGATGAAAAAAATGACGATAGTAAGGATAAGGAAAGAAAAAGCAAAAGTTCCCTGTTACAGTTCAGGCACAGTTATGAGCATGACTTTGAGGAATCAGCCCATTGACAATTCTACTGTACATAAGAACATGTTAATGTCCTCCCTTTGGGAAGGGCCTAAAGACACTTCAGTCAGTAGCACTGCCGCGGGGGTAGTTTCCATCCTAAAATAGTATCAAACTATTTTGAGTTCATATCAAATTATTATATAATCAAGGGAAAATTCACCACTTGATCACTACCATGCAAGAAACTGTGACATCACCATAAAGCAGAGTAACCACATCATTTAGTCTTCTAATGTCCAAAACACAAAATATCACAAAAACAGCGATGCACACATGCACAAAATAATTAAACAAAACAAAAACAATCATTAAAAAGAGAATAGTTTCAAGATCCCAGCTTTGTTGTTCTGTTCCTCAGATTGACGGCGAACTGACGCTGGGTGAGAACATTGCTGACAACGGAGGACTCAAGCAGAGCTACAGGGTAAGTTCCATAGAGCTCGGAAAGAGGACAGGTGGTGCATGCAGTGCTCCTTCAGGATACCAGTACTGTTTCCAATCAAAAAGTGTTTTCTAAAGCTTTACGTCTGCCATATCGTGTTCAAGGAAAATGTTTTAACACTTTGCAGTCACACAGCAAGTGGTACAAAATTCCCCATCTGGTCACCCAGCCAGGAGAGTGAACTGCGCTAGATGACCGGAACGGATAATTGTCACCGGCACTTTAATTGCACCAAGTGACCACAAAGTGTTAAAATGTTTTTACTAAGAGTCGTTATAACTGACTATTTTTACAGTTCTTTTATTGTTGATATTGCTGTAAGTCATCTATACTACCGGGATGACTTACCCTCATAACTGAATGACTTTAGAGAAAAAAAAAGAGCTGCTTCAGTCCAGAGTACGTTGTGGTCTCTAATCATTAATTCATTATTGGCCCTATATAAGGTACAGAAGACAGGCGGAGTCAAAGCATTGGGTAGCATTGATGATCCATATTAGGTTAAAAGATGGCATAAAACATTTTTTACAATCAATTAATCAGCCCCTCACTATGATTTGTCATCTTCTTCACAGGCGTACCGCAACCTGGTTGCTCGTCAGGGAACTGAGGAGAAACGACTTCCTGGCCTGAAGCTCAACCATGACCAGATCTTCTTCCTCAGCTTTGCCCAGGTAAGTCTTTGACCTTATGAACATATAATCACATTCCTAAACGTATTCTTCCTTCACCCTTCTATGCCCTGAGTGGGTGCCTGGGCAGTACCGGCAAAACTGAGTTCCAGTACTTTACTGGCCCTGGGTACCGGGACTGAGAGCAGATGACGTCAGAGACTGCGCACATCCAATGTCTTGCCTGCCCCATATCTTTTTCGCCATCCACCCCCCCCTCCCCCCTACATTCACACAAACACACACACACACAGACACACACACAATCACACACATACGCAAACACACTCAAATGCACAAAAGCACAAGCTACATACAGGTATAGACTTCTCTACATGTGCATTAAATTAGAATTGGGTGAATGTGTATGAATAAATTTGTACCCCCACATCCCCTCATTTATGTCATGCAAAGTGAAATCTTGTGGCTTAGATCCTATTTGTTTATTCCTTTCCCACACACATCATCATCATTTCCTTTCTCACCCTGCACCAGAGTATAGGCCACAGACAAACACCCTCCACTTTTCTCTATCCTGGGCTAGCCTCTTGATGTTATTCCATGTCTTCCCACTTTTCTGTTGTCCGCTGTCCTTCATTGTTCCTGCTGATGCAGAAGCTCCTCCGTCACCCAAGATCGAAAAATAAAAAGCTGTGTTTGTCCATGTTTCTGTAACTTACTGTTTTTTACTGGGTTGGGTAGTTGGCCCTCCGCAAACTGGCACTTTTCGGGCGACCAGACCTATGCACTTTAGTCGCCTCTTACGACACGCAGTATCACGGCAGGAGTATTCTTTGCTCCCCCATAGTAAAACTACGGGGCCCCCCACCAGCAGGGGAGATCCCACACACATGCTCACGCCTTTTTTTTCATCTTTACATGACTTAAAATTATGGAAAGCAACATGCTTTAAAAGCCTGTAATTTTCTTTCATGGAAAAAGATTTGAAAGTAGTAAACTTTATTTTTCACAAATCTTAGATGGCAAGTCCTTTTCTTTTTTTTCCATCTCTACATGACTTAAATGGAAAGCAAGGTGTTTAAAAAGCTTTTTGTAATTTATTTTCATGGGAAGTATTAAAAGCAGATTTAATGTTGGTAATTTTTATAATTTTGAAAATCTTAATTGGCAAGGCACATCCTTGAGGAAAGTGGATGTCGTGTTGCCTTTGATATTTTAACAGACAATATTACTTTGATTGTTGACCATGTGAAAACCTTCCTGTCCACTTTTCAGGTGTGGTGTGCCAAAATCAGAGATGAAGTGAAGAAAGGAGTGGTGGAGTCCGACCCTCACTCACCTCCTCCGTACAGGTACGTCCCTGTCTTTAACACTTTATGATACTTAGCGCAATAATGTGCCAGTGAAAATTAACCCTTTCATTCTGCCAGGTCCAAGAAGTCTGTTGCAGTCACTCTCCTGGCTGGGTGACCAGATGGGGTATTTTGTACTGCTGGCTTTGTGACTGCAGAATTGTAGCTGAGTTTTGATTGACACTCCTTGGTCATTTTTTGAGAGATGCTCAATCCACTATAAACATGAGGCAGAACCTTACAAAATCTTTAGACCTTCAAGGGTCAAATGACCGAAAGTCACAGTTTATAGTAATCGATCCGACTGAAACATCCTGAACAGCACCCCAAGGTTGTGAGAATTGGTGTTGACAAAAAGATTTTTGTGTCCGACAGTAAAAAATCATGAAGCAGAACATTATTGCTGCCTGGTGCAGGCAGTACAAATTAATTTATTGATTGCCCTTTATTCAATTTCTATTTGCCAGGGTGTACGGAACTCTCCAGAACTCTGTGGACTTCTCCCGAGCATTCAACTGTCCGGTCGGGAGCCGGATGAACCCCATGAGGAAGTGTGTGCTCTGGTGATTTCTTCCTTAGTTAGGACTTTTTTCAATTTTTCCATTACTCAACAACACCCAAAAAATGTTAAGGTCTGAACCACCTCGACCTTGACCCCACCTTTGAACTATGTCAGCACAGTTTCGCGTGTACCGGTAATAGAGACATATATATAGCAGCGTATAATGGTGCCATCATAAGATATATATAATTAATGACGAACTAACAGAAACAAAGGTGTGGATCTTAACGGAGTTAGAAGACATGCTACTGATATGAACAGAATAACTTTCCACCCTGTTGCATTATCAGACAAGTGTAGAAGAATGTAATGTACTCAGTTATACGAACTACGGACATCCATAGCCCAGAGAGAGGTTTTATTCAGACAGGAAAAGATCGTTGAAGTAGTCGCTTTGAGAAAGATTGTTACCAGTGTGATCAGATATATGCGTATGTGACATTGTAATTCTCCTGAAATATATATATAAAACAGATGAGATGATGGCCTTACTTTTTTTTAAAGCTTATACAGTGTCGTCTTTTTTTTCTACGGCCTTTTCCCTTTGACTTTGAGAAATTGAATTCCTAAATGGATGAGAACCGGCCTTTTAGGGAAATGCATGTGTGTGAAACAGCAGTTATGATGAGTGAGTAGAGCACTTTAATTCAGTGCCTTTATTTAAGGTGTTGCTGTTCATCTCATACATCTGTATTAAACCTATTAATGATATGAAGTGCAAAGAAATGAATTTCCATCAAGTGTGTAATAGGAGGAAGTAAAAATCACCTTTTGGTTGTGCAAAACTTAACTATGCATTTTACCAATTTGCCATCTGGGCATTGTCTCATTCTACTATGCTTGGTGTTGTGAATCTCATGTTTTTAGGGACAGTTCGATGACATTTCTATTCCATTCAAGTTTTCATGTTACTTTTTTTGTTTGTTCATGTCATGTGGTCCTACTTTATTAATTGATTTTCTGTTGTGTTGGAAACATCTTGTTTCTTTAGTCAGAGGCCACATCATAATGTAGTCTGTAGAGATGTGACTTGGATTAATGACGATTTGTATCATCGGTGTATTCGTGTCTCATGCCCTTGAATTAGCTTACAGTGATACTTAGACTGGATCTCATACTCTGTAACTTATTGTTCAGTTGTCGCGTTCCTCTGACTAGTAATTCAAGAAGTCGTGTGTGTCAACATAACCCTCAATTCTGAACATAACAATAAATCCGTTTTGATAAGCAAAAGTAGGCGCTCATATGACCTTATGTAATTGCGAGCGCTGTAAAACCTCTACTAAAACTAAAAAACTAAAAACATGAAAGATAAAACTTTCCTTGAGGTTAATGTGCACGCTTAAAGTTGCAATGCGTAATCTTTTGCACAATACTGAGCCTCTAGCAGAGTAGGTAGTTTAATGAGAGGTTGTATGTTTCCCTATTTAGTATTCATGAAGGTTAAATAAATCTTTCTATTGATGAACTTCTACATATTCGGTCTTAAGTATTGGAAGATTCATTGGGATCTAGAATATCAAAATAAATCCCCAAAGGTTTGTTGTGATTGTGAAAAATAGGCTACCATTATTGCTTTTGACACTGATGATAATATAGTGCCTGAGTAGTTTACAAAGGAAAATTAGAATGAGATTTCCAAATGATAAGGCAATGTTGTCACTTTGAAAGTTTTCTGAACCCGCCATATTTCTTAGATCTCTTAATTCCCTCTTTGTTAATGTCACATATCTTTCTGTCATTATTTGATGTACCGTATGTTAACTTATGTTTGATTTTCATATTATATCAATTTACTTTTCTCGGACACTTCACTTTTTTATTTCACCAACTGTGATCTGTGTTTCTGTTCGTGGCTCTTGCCGATAATATTATGCTCATTCACTGCAGTTTTTTTGTTTCCTGTAAACTTATCTCTCATTACGGACTGCATGTGTAAGCCTAATTGTTTCTGCCAGTCAGTGTTGGTGTAGTGAACATGTAGGACTTTCCTTCTCACCATAGTATGTGACAGACGTGCGTGATTCACTAGTTGTTGTAATAGAAAACTGCTCATTGTACGTGTATGTGTGAGGGAGATGTGAGAATGCTCAGAGCTTCCAAACAAATGTCATGTTCTTCTTGTCTTCCGTAATTTCTTCTTATGAAATACAGTAAGTAAAACACCACAGACAGTTTTCGTTCTACTCTGTTAGAATAATGGAAAGACCCAGAGTCTGCGTTGTTGGCTTATGGTAAAAAATTGTATTGAAAGTTTAAAAAACCGACATTCATTTAAAGCACTTTGTATCGCTGAAAAAAAAGCTGATGGAATATTTGTGAACTAGAACTTTGTTTTAAAAATATGATGAAGTCTTAAAGATTTTGTTTCCCTCCAAACTTTGTTTCTTGATTAAATTCTTTTAAAACCCTCTATTTGCAGGCCTTCTCTTTTCTATGACTTACATCATGAAGCAGATTTTTCGTTAAAGTTAAAGTTCTTCAGTTGTGGATGTGTATGATTGGTGAGCAGTGAATGATTGTTTGCAAGAGTCATAGACTGCAGAAATGCGGTGTGTTTAAATGTTACGACTGCTGACGTGAACCTTTGGGACTAGAGCCCTTCTACATCACAGGTATCATCTGCTCTCCTTAGATATCCTAAAACTAATTATCTTATAAACATATAATTACGAGTGAGACAAATTGGATGCTGTCTTCTTTTATAGAATTTTTCTACTAATAAGCCTTTGTTGTACAAATATGCTTGGAGATATAGAACTGCTTTGTGGGCAAGAATTGGTGTTGGATTTTACACCTCTTCTGTTTGATTATCTTAGATCAACAATATTTGGAACAGACCTCAGAAGCCAACAATGTAATGCTAAACTTCTAAGTTATCTTGATTAAAGCCACATCAAGTAATTCAGCTCATTTTATTAAGAGCAATACTTTAAAATACCAATGGAAAATAATCAAAATGTGTCTTGCACTTGCGGCAGTTGTACAAAAAATCTTTTCTCCCTTTTTTAGATTGTGTTTTTTTTAATATAAATGTTTTAAAACAATTTAGATGACTTACGAAGGGAAGTGGCTTTTTAAGAATGCATTAACATTTAATATAAAAGTAAATTCTTAACTTCATTTCTGAGGACAAAAAAATATAGGATGGAGCTATGTTCACAACTACGGTTCTTATATTCTCTGAAGCTGGTGCCTTTACCTTTTGTTTATTTCCCATTTCTATTTTACATTACTTGTAAATAAAATTTTATTTTTCAGAAACAACTCGCAATGGTCTTTTGTCCTTTGTTCATCACACATGATTTATTAGTTTTAGAGGTACAGTCGAACCTGCCATGACGGCCACTTTCCATTTCCCCCCTTGCATTTTTTCTATAACTTTACTGTGTAGAACGGGCCTGTCCAACGCAGCTGTAGCCACCTTATTTTAACTAGGATTTAACAAAATTACCTGTCTGAGACAGCCACTCATATTGCCGAAGGCGTTGTCATAAATTATGTTTTTTTAGCCCCTGATGCTGTGGACAAGCCGTCATAATACATTCACCAGTCGTTTTTGTTAGTCCCTCCCCTGTCCGATTATGTTGGCCGATTCCACCGCATCGTCACATATATCACTGGCAAGCTGTTCCTCAACTGTGCTAAGCCCGGACAACCAAATTTTTCAGAAAAGAAAAAAAACCACTGTTTCATTCTTGTACAAATTGTACCCAAATTGTGTCTCTTTTATTGTATCTCTCAACATTTACTTCCTTTAAAATAGAATTTGAAAACTTGATAAATATTTCTGAAGCACATGTAACTGATACCAAAGATGAAAAAACTACAATTCTTTTTTTTTACTTTAAAATGTTTGGCTCAGTAGGCCTACATCTATACAGCCGGTTGACAATATAAAGGATAAAGTTGGCATCATAAATCCTTGCAAACTCCTTTTACAAACTCTAGAGGATTAGAAGGCTTCAAGCTAAGTTTGCAACCAACTGTGTAACTGTGGCCGACAAAATTTCAGGATTTTCAAAAACGGCCAGAAAAGTAGGTCACTGACTACTTTTCGTGCATCTGGTCCTGGTCAGTCAGGACATCTTTAGTTTTAGTTTTAATAAGAGTGTTACGGCACTGTATATATTGATAAAAGCAATCTAATAGTCTAACAGCAACAAGCACAAAAAAAGGAGAGATAAGGACGATACATGTTTGATAAGAAAGAAAGAGCAAACCACACTAGAGCACCCACCAATCACCCACTAAACCACCATTTCTGCACAACGCACAAGCTTAAGAAAGAATAAAATCAAAACCTGTGACGTATGGTCTTACAATTATGAACAAACATCTTTTTCATCAACGTAATTAATGTTTTTACAACCCCCGTCCACACAACGTAATCATTGAGGAAGCAGGATCATTCAAGCCACCTGTCACTCCAATTGAGGGATGCCACTCCCCAGCAGAAAAACTGAGATATTCAACACAATTTCTCCCCACCCAGGAATCAAACTCCAGTCAAGTGACCTGCAGGTGACCACAAAGCATCTAACTGATAACCACAGCCGCTGGTGACAAACTTTTAAAACAAATACTGTTTTTTTAGTAAGAGTTATAAGGCGCTTGCAACACAATAAGGTCATATAAGTGCCGAAGAATTGATGTGTTACAAGAGAGTAAAAAACACACAAAAAAGGATGAGAGATAAGGAGGATAGATGTTTGATAGGAAAGAAGAAGCAAATCACACCAGAGCATCCGCCAACCAACCACAAAATCAAATACTGGTTGTACAAATAAAAACATAACCAACAAAAATACATTAGGATGACAACGTCAATGTTTTATTCTGTTTTGAGAGGTACAACATTTGATTAGTAGAGCTCGCATTTTTCTCTGGTTTACAACATAAGAATGTGACGACATGACTAATGACGAAAACAGCAGCAACTTCTCCTCTTGTTCCTGAGAACAAAACGCAAACCTGGCAAGCTAACACCAGGATTTCCTCAAACCTTCTGAAATCTTGTCTCGCTCCTGACGACCTGATCATGCTCGATAGTGTACATATATCACCATCGTAGAGAGGACAATAAGTAACTCTGTAGTTCAATCTCACAGTACTGAGTGAGAAAAAAACCCAATGAAGCTACTCATTTTTTCTTGCAATAGCTACGATATACACATATCATCAACGGCATTCCACAAGCGCCTTAGTCCTTTTTGTAAATTTTGAAAATATTCCAGAAAAAAAGAGAACCCAAATCAAAATTATGACTTGGTCATTGTTATTTTAAAAATTAAAGGCAAGGAAGGAAATAACAAAATGGGACGAAATCGTATTGTAAGACACCCATTGACATATTTATTCAAATGTGAGGCTTCATGAATAAGAAACGCTGAAACCGTGAGAGAACCCTGCAAACTGCGCACATCTACAAGTGGAAGTGGAGATTTCAACCGTTCAAAATATGACAAACTTTTCTCTGTCAGAATTGGTCTCATTGGCCATAGCAAAAGTCAAAAGTCATTTTAACGGATTCTTCTAATTTTTCTATTTTGCTGGAGAAACATACTTCTCTGTGGATATATCGGTCATCGTCAGACATTGACGGATGAGCTATTATTATTATATTTATAATTCAAATAATGGCTTTATCTGGAAACCCCCATGGCCCAGAAATTGATTTGAGCGATAGTGGAAAGAAGCCAATGATATATAATATACCTAGCAACAGCAGTAATCAGGTTCAGAGAAAACTAAACAGCTATCAGGCCAGAATGAAGAAAACAAGAAGAAAACAACCATCTTCTGACTTGTAACAATTTTAACATGTCACAAGTGAAGAAAAAAGAAGCTGGCCACTTTCTCTTATCATACTTCACTTCTTCACGACAAATTTAGCTGCCACAAAAAATGGTTATCCCATAAAGAATTTGAAATCTTTCCCATGAGAAAATGCCTTCCTATAGAACATACACATCAACTAGGACGGACAATATTAAGAGATGAATTTTTTGATTTAGCAAACTGGTAGATATTTATTTTAAAAAGTAGTTAACAAATATATTAGTAAAGGTTACTTACAACCTAAAACCCACTCAATTCTATTTAAATAAATTTAAAAATGAATTTTTAAAATGTTTACAGATTCAGAAGTAAGTTATGAGTAATCATTTAAACTCAATAAATAAACAAATCTGCTTCATTTCTTGCTAAAACCTACAACAAGGTAAAAAACACTACAAAGAACTTTCTTTCCTTGAGAAATGAATCAGTTATAAAATCCCTCAAATCTATAAAAACATATTAACCCTTTGTACTCTTTTATTTTTAAAACAGTTGAACTTTTGACAACTGCAAGTTAGAAACATGAAACCATTTCTGTGTGTCCAAAAATATTATGTTAATCACACACATAAAAAAAATCAGACCTCAACCAATATCACTTTACCTAAACACCTGCTCAGGCAAAGTAAGTGGAATAAAAAAGATATAAAAATAAAACCAGGACAAAAATCAATACAGAGTCGCTGTAAAAAAAAATACAACAGATCTAAAAATAGCCATAAATGTTAATGAAAAGATTAATTCTCTGAATGAAAAGGTCGTAAATCATTCTTCAGTACAGGGTCGGCTCTATGAAAGGTAGAAAATCAGAACATAAAACTGGAGCAGCAGAACATTTATCTAAGCACATATGATATGTTGAAGCACTTAAACATAATATCACAGGGTAACAACAATAGCATGCAAAATTATTCATTTGAAAACTCCCACACGAACAGGAATAAACAAGTAGAGACTGAGAAAAAAATTGACACCAGAAGTACACACACGCGCACACACACATGCGCACACACACACACACACACACTCACACATAACACCTTCGCTTTCACAGAACAAATGTTTGTTCATCATCTATTCCGTCAATGTTTGAGCCCCGATGTTGCAGCGTCAGTGAAAGTCCCTTCGACAAAGAGAAAAAACAATTCTTCTATATCAGCCAACACTCATGAGCCCAGCGTGGGTTCATTTCAAATGAAGGCATCATGCACTTCGCAAGAGACTTTCAGAAACAGCCAGAGCATCAGGACACATGGCAAAAGACAGTTGCATTTGTCCTGCTTTTGCTTGATACTAGGAAACCTTAGTGTTTGAGAATGGCGTTTTAAAATGTTTGACACACATATTACTTCAATCCATGGTTGTGCACCCTAGTTCACGAAAAAAGATAGTTTTTTCAATCTACTGACATAGAATCTGGTGAAGAACCAGTGGACTATAATATGAAACGAAACTTTAAGAAAGCAACAGATTTGTATGTTTGTATATATTCATGTGTGTTAACTTAACAGATAGGGGGAAAAAATTTAGCATTTAAGGCAAACTGACAGAAATAAAAGAAAGGACTGTGGAGGGGAGAGAAAGTGAGAGAGAATAGAAAACAGAGGGAGAAGGAATCATAGATAGAGAATGAAAAAGAAAGAGAGAGAAAGACTAGCAGAAACTAAGGGTGACTACCTAATTTAAACACTAATTATAGCTCTTTCCATTTTGAAAACTGCTCTTGTGGTTGAACTCATCATTTGGTACAAAATGTCCATTGTGCGTACTTTGTGGTTGATGATAGGTTTCTGTTTCTGAGAAAGAAAAAATGAGCACATTAGGTTTTTTTCTTGTATCCATGAGTTTAGTAGAGAATTCTAGAAGCAAATCAACGCAACAAAAGTCATATAAGAGGAAAAAACAGGACAAACAATAAAAAGATCAAAGGCACATGGGACCTCCGAGATTTTTTTGCCCTTATCCGAGAAGGCTAGGTGAACAAACTTACCTGCCATAAGAGAACGGGTGTAGATGAATGGATGAAAGACAGCAGTAAGAAGTAGTCAAGGAGTAGAAATAGAAAAGCAGAAGAAAGAGTCAGGAGCCCCAGAGGAGGGGTCAAAGAGAGAGACGGTGGGGGGGGGGGGGGGGAGGGGGGTGAAAGCAGACAACAGAACATGAAAAGAGAGCAGGAAAGGAGGTGAAAGTGAAAGCAAAAAATAATTTCAGAGAACATTTTCCGTTCCTGTCGATGTTTACCAACTCCTTTAATGACATGGTAACCTCTGTCTGTTAAGAAAAGGACATTCATCATTTACTTATTGTCATACCCGGTACAAAAGACCCATGCCAGGATAAACTTACCTCCACCTCCCTTCCACAAGGAAGGCCCTCCACTCACGGCACAACCGCGCTGGCTCATGGGCTTGACCTTCTCCTGCTCCGAGTCTTTCCGACACAAGCTGAGGATACGGTCAGCCACATAGCTGCACGCTGTAAGGACACGATAAAGATCGGGTGAAAAGGGAATTAAATAAAAAAATATAAATAAATAAAACTAATAAAATTATATTTTATTGATCGCTGTAAGGAAATTTGGGTTACAATGACAAACATAAATATAATATATATATATATAATTTCACAAACATGCCATTGTTGGTCGCCACTATAGGCAGCATCCTGCTGTTATTCATTTGTATAAAAATTTTATAAAGAAAAGGGAAAACAGGACAAACAACAGAGATGGCAGTTGAACAAGATTGAGAAAAGAGAAGAACAATGACATGATAATGGCCATTTATTTTGTGAAAGAAAAGCAAGAATGACAGGAATAGAAATGACGGGAGTGAAAAGAAATTTATTGTCCAAACTGAATTTTTTTACAGGCTAAAAAATAAGCACATTCAATTTCTAACCAAAGGCAAGGTGAGTAGTACACATAGCAAACATGGACTATAAGTGTGTTTGCACCATGTGTGTGTATGTGGGGGGTGGGGGGGGGGGTGGAGGGGAGGGGGGTGTATAGGGGGAGGTAGGGGGAGCCTAGGTAAATGATGGACAATGATGATGTGTGCATTATAACGAGAGTAACAGGGTCAGGGAATACATTATGATGTAGAACAGTCGAAAAGTGTGACTTTGAGGCTCAGTTTCAGTTACGCCCCACTTTAGACTTAAAAGCCAACATTTTATAACAGGGATCTTGTAAACCCACAACTCTCGCAATGGAAAGAGATTTTTTTTAAACAACTGTTCAATACTCCCCAAAAATTAGAAGGGTTTCCTCTTTGTTTTTACATTCCCCCATCCACACAATTTAAAATTAGAGCAGTAAAGATTTCCGACAATTCCTGTCAGGGCCAATCCGAGCTGAGAGGGATACATCTCTGAGGGAAGCGCCGCCTATCTAATCCACAGACGTCAGTGGGTTGACCTAATTAGCGTGAGCCTAGCTCCTCGTATTTTATCAAATGAATTTATACCAGTCATAGCCTAAATTACCAAGGCCTATACTGTTTTATAAAAAATTGTTTAACAGAAAAAGGACTTGAAGAGAACTTCAATACCTGACACAGTTAAAATTAATCCCTGACTAACAGGGATAAAATGTATAAAATATATACCGAACAACAGCTTGATCATTGTGTGTAGATCTATGATGTGTATTACATGATTACCTGAAGCTATAGCAACCACCTAGCACAATGTGATTAGCCCAAAGATGACGAATTTCCGCTATCTATTTTTATTATCTTCCAGGGTTTCCCTCGCCAGTTGACTAGATCTCACCTCAAGAAGTTGTAAACGTACACTGTCTCAGATCTCACTGCGGCAGGCCCGGCGCGTGCGCCCGTGTGTGTGTGTGTTTGCGTGCACGCGTTTGTGTGTGTGTGTGCACACGCGCTTGTGTTGGGTGTGTGTGTGCGTGCGTGTGCGCGCGCGCGCGTGTGTGTGTGTGTGTGTACAACTTTGAGGAGAATATAAATTTAAGGAACGAGAGTGAATTGCTGAGATAGTTTTTATAAAAGATAACACTAATTAATTATAACAACAAAAAAACCAAAGACAGCGAGATCTAGACAACAGTTTGGCGAAGGAAACCCAAGAGTCTTGGGGGAAGCCCCAGCAGATGACAAAAATAGATGGCGGAAATATGTCGTCTAAATTTGGGCCAATCACAGAGTTTGGCTAGGTGCTTGCTGTAGCTTCATGTGTATTATTATAATTATAATTATAATTATAACAGCCCTAGTCAAGTCTTACAATTGGCCGCAGGTCAAAATTTGTCAGAAAACTAAAACTGTAAGTTAATTCCTGCAGTAAGGACAATAAGAACCACCTGGAAACTTAAGTTTATAAAACCCTATTCGTACGTCGCGTTTTACTATAGTATACATCTATACGACGTGCGGAACTCTGGTGCCACTACTTTCCAATGCGGAAATTTACTCGATAATCCGATCTGTAGCCTACGCTTTGAGCAAATGATTTTTTTAGAAATACTGAAAGTTTCAAAGAGATATTTGAACTAGATCTATCTAGATCTAGATCTAGAAGTATTCTAAAATGTACCCTGGGGGTACAAAATGACCCCAGTCCCAGATGGATATAGGGTTAAAAGAAAGTGGCTATTCTCACCCGCCCGGAAGTTCTCGCAAGATCAACTCCTCCCCTCTTCTCTCTCTCTACGTCTCTTTCTGAATACTTTCTATCGGTGTGGACGATCAAATTGACCAAAACAAAGTTAAAAAATGATGTTAGAACACAAAAGTAAATAGATTTGGTTGTCTACAAAGATGCTACGGCTATTTAACTTTTCAAATCGAGCCGAACTACGCGGGTCGCCATTTTGTTTTGCCCGGAAATGCTCGCGCTACTCCTCTCTCTTTTTCTCTCTCTTTCTCCACTGCCCACAGACAAAATCGTACGCTTTTAGTAGGCTACAATTGTAATGGAACGTTTGTTCACGGCACAGAATTCTACAATTTTTCTGTTATCACAGTGTAGAATTCTGTGGTTTAGGAACGCAAAATTTGGTGAACGCGCACCGGGTGAGAATAGCCACAAGACTCGCCTGCACTATTCTCACTCCGGGTGAGAATAGAGGTGGCCGGGTTAAAAACCCCTTGTACTTAAATTTAAAATCGAAGAAGGCGAAGGGCGGGGCCTGGGATGCAGGCTAGAGATAGGCTTACATGTAGTATACAGATAAGAAAAACTAAAGGAGAATAGGCCTAATTAAAGTTTTACTTTAAGTCAGGCTGGCTCTCTAATTCTTTCAATTTCAAAGACCCTTCCTTTAGGCTTTAGGAGGCTATATTTATTAATTTTAGATTTATTTATGTAAATAAATCATCACACAACTCACCATTGATTATCAATCAGACCATCTTCTTGGATTTTGCCAAATACTTCCTGGCGTACGAACCGCTATCTGAGTCCTAGGGCGACAGATTCCCCTGAGAGTACTGTGTACGAGTGTGTTAGTGACTTTGTGACAGTGTCACAACCAACGTTAGATCCGCGAACTGAGGCAGTGTTTGGTAAACAGTAAACACGTAATGAAAATACGTGACCAAAGCCAAAGGTCAAGGTTGTGTGAGTCTTCGTTGAATATTTTACTTCATCCATTGTTGCTCGTTGTATTCCTTAAAATACTTGAGATATTATCTTTTTAAAATTATTTTACAAAATACTGTAGGCTATATTATTACAGAATTATGTATTACTTTTGATATATTTTAACTTAGTGTTATTCTTTAAAAATAATTACCAAGGGCTACTCTTGAAAACGAAAGTAGGATTTTGTTGTTAAGGCTCTAAGCAATAAATTGATTTTTGTGATGTCCAATTTCCTCATTAGACAGAGCTTGAATGCATTTCCTGGTTTGATGTGACCCGACACAGCATTCTAATGAGTAATCAGCTGCTGTTTGCCGATCGTATCGTCAACGTATTTCCCTGATGCTTCTTGAGTAAGTAAACTTTAGGATATTTGCAAGTTTTTTTCGAATTTTAACCAATTAATCTGCGTTGAATCTAAATTAGTCTCGTTGATTGTTCAGTATTATTATTCTTAGCCTTAGCGTCTTAGCCTTCGCCTATCATTTATTTCATTGTGACTTGTGATGATTGTCATTGTCTTGTGTAGACTGTTTTTATTTAACTGAACTAATAATACGAAAGAAAGGAATCTAATATGTACAGAGACAGTGATAGTATGTCAATAAGAAACAGGTTTCCACATTGTATGGTGTGGACAAATTAACACACTTGACATCATGGGGCCTACATTTATAAACACAGACTTAAATTAAATGAAAGAGTCACTCAGAGAAGCTTCGTATGTAAGTTATATTCACATTCATAGCTGTTTAGATAAGAAAATTATACAGAGTGTAACATGGATAGCTCGAATTCGTCGGGACCGGCCGTCGGTAGTTTCAGAGGTCCGTGGTTCGAGAGATATCTTACAAAGATAAAAAGAAGAAGAAAAAATGGGACCGCAGGCACGATTCGGCGGATTCGTGATTTCGAGTCCTCAGTGTTCGACCTATCTGTGTTATACTGTACATAATTATTATTATTTGATTATAATACCTGTGTGTGTCGTTGATTGGCATGCTCCTTCGGATCCTTTTGTTAAACTAGCTTGGTATAGTTCTTTTTCTTCTGAGTTCCTGTCTCATTTCCCATTACATTCAAACTGACAAGGGTGATCTGTCAGAGGTTGATGGTCTTTGTTATTGGCCTTGACACTGTGCTGGGACTTTGGGTAATTTTGTTTTTTCTTTTTGTCTGTCAGGAGCAGGTTTCTTCACTCTATATTTGCTCTGTTATATTCCTGTGTGTATCACTTTCAGATGATTCGTCGTGTCTCTAGTGTTGGGTTAGAGGCTTCACTAATATTGCAGAAGACATTATTTCAATTCTCATGAAGGGTGGGGGGGATTTTTATAGAGTATCTCGGTTTTTCTGCTGGGATGCTGTGTCCCTCTCAGTCAGGGTATTCTCTGCCGGACAAGATTGAAGCACGCTTTCCAAATTATCTAGATTGTGTCGATGGGGACGGAAAAACACCTACTCTCAATATTTAAAAAAAAAACCCTTTGGAAAGAAAACATGTCCATCTTTTTGCGGGGATGCAGTATAATATGCTCTACGTGATATAATTTGCTCTGACAGGCAAGGGTCAAGCAGGCTGCATACAAAATGACTTAAATTGTGTTGATGAAAGCATATAGAGAACATGGATAAAAGCATTGTAACTTGTTGGAGGTAGTTGGAGGGCGCCCCAAGCAGGTCCTACTTTGTTTCATTCTCATTGATGTTCCTGTCTGTTTGTCTGTCTGTCTGTCCCTGGGTCCATCTGTCTGTGTGTCTGTCTTCCTGTCTTTCTCTTTCCCTACTCTGAATGACCATCATTTTGTCTATGTACTTCTCTTTACGGTACTCAAACAAACTCCACAAAGGGGGCTCTCATGGCCTAGAGGTTAAGGTGTTTGCCTCTCATTCAAAGGTCCCGGGTTCGAATCCGGGTAGCGACCAAAAAATTTTCTTCTCTAAAATTTTCTCCTTTCACCTCCTTCCTCCTCTCTAGCAATGTTCTGTCGTCTGCTTTCGTCTCCTCTTTCTGCCCCCCCCCTCACCTCTTTTGCCCCTTCCTCTGGGTTCCTGACTCTTTCTGCAGCCTTTCTAATGCTACTCTTTGGCCCCTTCTTACTGCTGTCTTTCAGCCACACCCCTGATCTTCTGGTAGGAAAGATCTAAACCTAGCCTTCTCGGACAAGGGCGAAAAATCTCAGAGGGCCGTGTGCAAGTTGCGCACGTTAAAGATCCCTTGGTGGTCTAAAATCGATAAGAGTAGACTTAAGCCACCACCCTGGCAAAATTCTAAATTTCCTACCAACTGAAAAATGTAATGTGTCCCGCGCGCTCATATGACCTTATGCAGTTGCGAGCGCCGTAAAACACTCAACCCCAAAAACCCTCCATAAACCAGTGGCCGTTGACCAGCGAGGATGCAGCTCATGTAATATGTGATGGGCAGCCCTGGCCATCACCCCCTCCCCCCTCACCCACCACAAGGGCAGTGCTACTGACTGAAGTGTCTTTAAGCCATTCCCAAAGGGGGGATATTAACATGTTCTTATGCACAATAGAATTGTAAATGGACTGATTTATCAATGTCATGCTCACACTGTGCTGGAACAACATAGGGGGAACTGCTGCCTTTTCTTTCCTCATCCTTACTTTTTTTCATTTTTCCTCTTCTTCTTTGGTATGTTTGTCACTCTCTTGTGAATTGCTTTTTCCGGGGTGCCTTGATTGTTGAAGCAGACTTTGTGCTGTTGAGGCTAGAGAGGTGAGCAGAGTAAGTCTGATTCCCCACTTGAACTTTTCTGTTGACATTCTCCCCTTGGCGCTCATATGATGTTATGCAGTTGCGAGCACCGTAAAACCTTGCTAAAACAAACTGGCCATTTGGTGTCCTTATGTAAGAGTATGTTTGGGTTACCACAATCAAAAGTGTGTGATGGCTTTTTCAATGAGTTCATTCGAATCAGCACATGAATATTTAAATAGATCCTGATACTTTCCGCTTTCCTGTTGTGTTTCAATTTTATTATTGATATTGTACGGGGTTACTGATGTGAAGGTGCCCGTAACTCATGAATATACTATTATTACGCCCTTGTATGTTGTGTAATGCAGTGTATGTTGCTGGTGTAATATAGACCCATGTATAGCAATAATAATAATAATAGATAGCATTTGTATAGCGCAAATCTCCGCTCAACAGCAAGTTCTATTCGCTTTACAATCTATTTTATTACCCCAGCAGACCTGAGAGCAATCTGAAACAACCTCAATTTTCTGGGAAGCATACAGTGCAAGTGGCCGTATATAGGCGCTGAAACACTAACATACTGACAAGGTCTTTCGATGTGTCTATGGCTGGGTACCCATTCCCACCTGGATGAAATGAGGAAAATTCGTGTAAAGTGCCTTTCCCAACGACAGAACGTCGTGCCCGTAAATGTAGCCGTTATCGGGCAGGCTTTGACAAATTAATGCGGGAATCCACTCATTACAGCCACAGCGAGGGACGGGCTGTAATTATCTGCGTGTATGGCGGTGTATGCTGTGATTGTAATTGAAAGCTGTTTTAGGGGCGGGGGAGG